CGACTCTGACGGGTAAAGCCCCTTCGCGTTTAAACTGTATTTACGCTATTGTGTATGCGCGTTTCAATGGTAGTAGTCGGATTTTACATTAAATAAGGATCACCTTAGAGCATCTACGAATGAAGGACAATCAAAAGAGTAAAGTCTTCTTAATAGACCTAAACGTTTGTACAAAATCTTCTGCAGAAGAAACGCATTTATTGCCAAACTTCAAACTGGAGACGGCACCTCTCTCCAGCCAGACTGTTCGCTTTTTAAAGTTCACAAAACATAATGAAGGCGCTGGTGTCCGTGCTGTGTCATTAGCTTTCTCTTCGCAGTCTGAATGACCATAATTGCAAAGCTAGCAGTTGATTCTAACTTCCATTATACTTTCAGAGCATGTCCAGAAGTGTCTAACAGCAGCAATCACAGAAGCCGGTAACTTCCTGTCAGAACTGCATAAACCACTTTTGGCGTAACCTAATGATTACGGTGCTGAATGCAGCTCAGTTTTTGAGGTATGGTTGGACAAATTACAGTCTGCGGAAGGATGTTTTCTTTGCAAGTTCAGAAGTTCTTATAAACGCAACAGACTTTAGCCTGGAGTGTTGATTGTCCCGTTGCTAGTTTCATATTTGGTTTTGCTTTCTGTTTCTAAGAACAAGCAGATAGCTGCGGTTAACGGGATGCACCGCGAAGCGCTACGTTATGTAAACTAAATCCAGTCTCTTAACATTCGATTGTCACAACAGTTATTCACGAATCAATTCCACTTGTGGCTCTCTCGACCTGCCATAAAAGCACCTAAAGCAAATTTGTAAGGAACAGTGTCTACCTACACGACATTGCTTTTGCACGCCTACATTCGAATGTGGAGCAAAAGGCCACATCATACGAGGTCGCCGACACGGTAATTCTAATAAAAAGATCTCATTACGCTAACCACTTCTTTCGTAATTTCAGAATCAAAGCAGCTCATTATACCAATTTATTTCTGCCAGACATTAAGGCGACTTGCGCACCCCTAACCTATAAATAGCACTTACCGTTTCGGTTTTGTATGGCATGGTTGCGTTTGATCCGAGTTTTCGAAGATTAGTGGGATTTGAATCGTTGCTGCCTTTACTTGAGTGCTTTAGTACGTTATAAGGAAAGCGATAACTTAGTGAGGCTATAACTGGTGACTCGCTGGTGTTTCGTCCGCTAGATCGGCGAACTCCAGGCGTCGTGCTTAATGCTGTGGTAGGCAAGTCGTCTAAACCGAGTGCCAGCCCCACGCAAGATACGGTTGGAAAGACCTACTGATTCCTGACCTGAACAGATTTTCCGCTTTGTGGTGGAGCGGCCTGGGATTCTGTAGCGGAAGGCTATCCTCTTGGGTCGTGTACGTTGTGTGACAGAGCGAACATATGAAGTGTTAACGCCAGTACGCGAAGAAGCCATGGGCAAAAATCAGTAAGTATAACTCAGAGGAGAAGCTTAGGTTTTCTTGGATTGAAAGTGGCCTTAGGAAGGATATTGGGCCTCAATATAATCGGATCTCAATTTTCGAACAAGCGCTGGCCGTCATAGGTTTCTTAGGAAGATAATGGATAAGTCATAATAAGCTTTTACAGATTACGCTCGTAGGCAATAAACGTAGTAGTGCATTAATGTCTTTGTAATATTTAAAAACGTTTTTGGGAAGCTTTCTGAAGAGTCTACAACAGAATGGTGACTTAGCGGCATAATGTTACGGCCACAGGGACTAAAGTACTGAGAAATAATGGCATTGGCACTAACAAAATGGGTGTGTCCCAGTGACTAACTAAACTTTATCGAGGTTCTTGAGGGACAAGGAGGTGTATCAACGTCTGTCGACAATGCCTTCCAGGACAACTCGCTAGTCAGAAATCTATTGTAGAGCGCTTCCACGAGGGAAATCTCCGTGGCTATTCTAAACGTTGGAATAAAGGAAGACAGCTCTGCGGTAAACGAACATATGAGGGGTGGTCCGAAGTAGAGAAAGATTTCGTAGGAGGCTTTCAGACAAAAACAGTTCAGCAACATAGAAGATGATATTTTGCGGTTAGGTTCAAAGGACGCAAGGAGTTGGTTATAATCCCGTGGATGCAGCTCGTGCGGATAAGTGGGAAACTTGACCAGGATGTCCTTGGCCTGATGATCCGGCTGTTCTAAAAACTTCTCCCTACCAGCTTTAACTAGATCTGAGCTGATTCGAATTGAAAACTAATTAATAGTGGTTTCGGGGGGATCGAGTCTGATGTCACACTCAGCCCGTGTAAGATGCAACCTATGTTCTGGTAGTGCAGGTCTTACGTGAACTTTTATACTTAAATTATCTAAAAAGCCTTCAAGTAGTGATTGCAGTTGTACATACCTGGAAGAGCAAAAGAATAACGAGAAATAATCTGACATTTTTGATTTTATTCTGTAGAAAAAAAATTGTATCTTTGGACACAATGATACGTAATCTTTAAGGCATGCATACTGAAGCGTTTATCTTCATATTCGCAGTTTTACATGTGTACTTTAAAAGCCTGCATTAATATGCAAGCAATAATTTCATCTTGATAACTAATAACTGCCGCGTTGAATGCAAGCGATATCCAAAGACGGCCGCTGGAGCAGTATGATATGTTCGAAGCTGATACAATATGCCCACATTTTTTACCTAGAAAATTGTTGATATCTTTCTTATTTGCTCGCACAGTCCTGGCTGACGAATTTCGCACAAGATACATCGTTTTTTTCTAAAATATGGCCTTCAGTAATTTTACGCGTCAATAATTCGTTGCATAGCATTAAGACGCGTATAATCCTAAATTCACTCTGTGTTGCCTTTAACGGGTACAATGCGCGAACGGACGCTGCGGCGATAGTGGAAACATCTATCTGTGCTAGATTTCTTCTACATTATATGTGCGGCTAGCTAGGAAACATAGTTTTGCCGTCTTGCTGTAGCAAAACATTGACCTTTTGATTTACCATCGATTGAACTTGTCATCGCAATCTGTCAATACACATTTGTTGATCTGATTTAGTCGTCTCAATGCTTTTATAGGGGACAGTTTAAACATTACGGTTATTTTAAAACCTGGGAGCATAGCTGTTCTTTTTTCATTTTGTTCTCTTCTTATCGCTTACGTAAATTGAGCTACTACTGCTTCGGGACTACTGAGCCTGCTTTTCTACTTTCCACCCACATTTACCAGTTATGGTTGATCAAACACTATAGCTGTAATAGATATCAGTTTGCCAGATCGCTTGTAGGGCTCACGTTTGTTTAGCTTTCCTAAAAGGCAAAAGTAAACAGCACAGAGCTTAAGAGCTCAGGAGGTTTAAGCGAGATTAGGAGTGAGTCGAGAGCAAGAGGTCAGACTGATCTCCTTCCTAGCTTTTCTCTCAACTCAGCTTCAGTTTTATTCAACGAACTTTAACAGTGACCTGTTCATGCTTGCCATTCCGGGCTTTCTGAACCCGTTCCCTTATTTAACTGTTAATGCCAAGTACAGTTTGAGTCACAAATGCGTTCGTGGAACAAATATACCTAAACTAATATATGACAGCGTCTATGTTGAAACTTTAAAGACTAGAAGGTTGAGGTATCAATCAGGTCAGTTAAGTTAATACACTGTATAGGACATTTTGTAACAAGTAGAGAATTTTAGAAAAAATTTTCAAAGCCAACGTACGCTGAGATTTCTAACGACTGTTGCAAATATATATATATATATATATATATATATATATATACTTATACATATATATGTGTGTGTGTGTGTGTGTGCTTCGACTCAATCATTTTTTCATAATATTTGAGCTTTCAATATCAACCTACGTATCATTTATTTTTGGTCAGCGTGAATGTTATTGTGGATCCTACCTGTAATTCTGTAAACCACCGAAATATACGTGGGCACTCTTCTTAAGAAGAGCTTTGCCTCGGTGACCTAATTTTGTTACTGTTAAGTTTGTTACTCACCACTAGCTGACAATATCATCGTAGAAACAAAACCTGGTCATATGCAATTTTTCATTGAACTGAGAAAGCGTTGTGTTCCTTAAATATCATTTTGTTTTGTTTTTTTTTCTCCAATTTGCAGAACGTACCTCACGTATGAGACACGTTCTGATATGAATGCTCGCAGCAAAAAAACGGCAGAGTATTTAAATACTGACAGCGGTTGATGTATAAAGTAGGTAGATGACTGACAACAAGCTGTTAGTTACGCATTTTTACAGAGAAGCAGAACATAATACAACATGTAGACACGTAGCTGATATATAATTCTAGCATTGCAGCCCACCTATTCTGGGCGGGCAAAAAGGCGGTATCATCTTAATCCCTTTCCCTTTCTTGGGGCGACAGCAATCGGAGGAGGGGATGTGCAAGGGCTTTTCACTTCAGTCTATCAAATCTTAAGAAGTGTTTACCTATGGCGACTCGCATTGGCATGATTCGTGTCTATCCATCTCAGACTCGGCCTTTTTGTAGGCCGCTCACGCCCCTCATCCAACTCCCATTCATGTACTTTCCCTTGTTTGACCTTTCCTAAAATTGTAAACAACAAAGATCGGGCAGTCTTAGCCGGTATAAACCTGGAACAGTTCTACATATAGAGCATGCGTCTGGCAAATGACAAATACGCACGTACACTGCCGAAAAGGGGCTTCTTTTATCCGGAACACCTAGGTAGTGGCTCCTTCGCCCGTTTTGCCAGTTCTGCCGTTGCACACAGTAGCCGTTGAAATCGATAACTCTCCCCCCCATCCCCCCGCCCCCCAAAGTGCACTTTCCTCTGACCCTCTCCAAGACAGAGGATTCGTAGAAAGAGTAAGAGATTCAATCGGAAGGAAACAGTAGTTTCTAGGACGAAGACCGCGCCGATACCACTGCAGTGCCATGTCCGGTTACGTTACATTGAACTTTTGACTGTGTAGCAAAGTGTAGTAGGGAAAAGTAATAATTCAGGCCAAACACAGGTGAACACAGGTGCTCATGAAACTCGCCAGCAAAATAACCTGTTGGTTATAAGAAGACAAAAAAAGCCGAGCTAATATCTAAGATGCCTTCCGAAAAGTAACATCTATATTGTCTCATTATTTTCTGGTTCAACTGACCCTATCACATATATCGCGTCAAGTAACGAGAGAAGTAGCGGACCATAAAGTACTGAAAATTGAAGGTTCAAAAACATCGCTCAATGTGGTTACGTAGCCACCAGTCAGGAGCAGAAATATAAAATAACATAGGGAAATACCATATAGTACGAAAATAACTTTTTTCAAGTCAATTACCCAATGTTTTTTGAAAAACCGAGATGATCTAATTAGTCATTGCGAGTGAAAATTCTACGTAGCTGATACATACTTTTCGCATCCTAACACATTAAGTGGACTTGCTTATGCAGTAATTTCCGTGGATTGCCTTTTACAGTTCTATTCAAGATCACTAAAAAAACATCTCGTGAAACATAGTGGTGAAAAACAGATGAAACTGGTCTGTAGCTGCTTTTGCGCGTCTGCTGTGTCGTCGGCTGCTGCGGGTGATTGGATACGTTTGTGTGTGTACGGGTGCGCCGGTTCGTGAATATCAGATATTATTTATCAAATAAGAATTAAGGTGTATGTCTTAATGAAAAATCAATCAATGAGTGGCCAGCGTATGAATATGTAAGGTAAGGAGAACAACTCCGTAAGCTGTAATTTATTTCAAGTGTTTGGAACGCTATATAAATTCGGATCGATTATATATAAAGGACTCGCTACTCTCAATAAAACTAAAACCTATAATTAGGATGTAAGGTGTGTGCTTTGGTGAACGATTCGGCTGAATCTTTTGCGTCAACCATTTCCAGTAAATTCCAGATTTGTGTGTTCAGACAATTTTGGACTTGAGATCATGACGAAGTTCACAGTAAGTGTACCTTTATGCACTCTAGTAGAGATTAAAGAGAAATAAAAAGAAATGCATATAATTAAGCAAAGCATCAGCAAACGACTGCATTTTCTAGGATACACTACTTCAGACAATCACAAAATTGCTTACCGTATTTTTAAACCGGACTGCTTATAAAATGGTTTATGGCAACGGATAACTATCACAGTTCGTTATAAAAAAAATTCGGCTTAGGGCATTGTTTCTTTTTGAGAGGTCTATAAAATTAGACAAAAAAAATGAGCAACAGCAGTCAGTAGTAGCCTTGTTGTCCAGAGCTCCTGGACTCTTTCAAAGGTAAAACGTTAGTTGTGAGTGAGTTGAATTACCATTCTAATCGGCACTGTGTTCCGAAACTATTAACCTTAAGAGATGATTGGATTTCCAAGACATTTCGCGCATAAAAGTAGTTTGATTTCGTTACATGACAGCAGCAATGATTAAGAAAAAACTTTTCGGAAAGCGTCTTTGGAAAGGGTAGCTTCATTAAAGCGAGTATCCGAGTAACGAGTATCCTTTCACAGGCTTTATTAAAAAATCACATGTTCTGGTAAGTCACCAGAAATTTCTGATCTAAATGTATTGGGTTACTTTGTTTCATATAAAAAAAAATGGCTTAAAGTGCTTAAAAATTCAATTCCGTAAGGCGTTCCGAAACAGCGATCTCGAAATATAATATGATATTAATATGATTTTAGGATATTACGTAAAACATATAAATAAAACAACAACATATATATAGTACAGCATCTACATTAGGTTTTTATACAGAAATTAATAGCATCTTTTGGAGAGAAAAATAGTAATTGCAAATTCGGTTGTCCAAAATCTTTTTATTCTTGGCCCGTTTTGGGATTTTGCATTTTTGAAACTTTGGCCTGTTATCAGCTGTTTAATTCCACGGAACTTCTTTGTATGTAACATATTTAAGGGGCACTTCTACTGGTCTGTACCTACTAATATCGCTTGACGCATAGTTACTATTACAAGGTTATTTGCGAATTAAAGAATATTCTGAAAGTGGCTAGGAATTTGTTTTTAATCCAGAATTGAAGCTGTAATTGCCGTGAATTATACTTATTTTGAGTAAATGTGAAGGCCAGGAATGGCGCTTCTAGAACATGTGGAAATTTTTCTTGAGATGTCTGATTTTATTTCGATACACTTTTATAAACAAGGCATGATAACTGAATTTAATTTGTGTGTCGTAATTTATATATATATATATATATATATATACACACTTATCTTTACTAATCTTACATGTCATATTCGACAGCATAAAAGTGTTATATGTGTTAGGTAGAAAAACGTTTACGTAATATCTCAAGATCGCGTTATTTTATAGAGGTATGACACTTTGTGATTTTTTTGATATTCAAGATGTACTCGTGTTCTTTAAAATCCGAAGCCGCTAATTCGGATGTAGCTACTTGGGCTTTTAGCTGGCCAGTTACACTGAATCATAAACAATTAGAGAATTTGAATGGCGTACGAATGACTTTCATATTGGAACTATAGCGGCATAAAGAGCTCGCCGTATAAACCCTATATTCAAGAGAAGTTCTATTATTAGACACACCATTTTGTCCAAAGATTCCGGGAAGGAAACCTTGAACTTAAATGAGTTTCGTAGGAAGTTCACGGATGTGAGCACACAGGTTTGGTGCGCCATGGCAAAAATACCATACTTAATGACCTCAAGTGTCTAATTAGTGAAACTGACCAATTGTGTGCCGCACGATTTGAGCGGGAATCAAAACGGACAGAGATGCTTCTCTTTACTCTTACGTGACAGTAATGATTCATTCATCACCGCATTATGATTTGTGGCAAAAAATTGATCCTATATAGTAGTCGCCCGCGGTCACCTCAGTGATGTACAATCGAATTAGTGGGACATTACCTTAGAAAGAGAACGTAGTGCCCTTCGTACAGAACCCTCGTGTCTGTTTGGTCGTCTCATGCAGGTGTTGTCCACTATAGCTTCATGTGTACTAGTCCAGCAAATACAGAATATTGAAGGTGATGATTAAAAGATTCCGCATCAAGCACACAAAGTTAGTGAACAGAGGAAAACTGCATTTTATGCGCGATAACACTTGATCGAAAAGATCACAGCCTCAAACTACAGGTATTTACTATAGCCGAAAACTCTTTATCATCTGTCATATTCGCTAAACATTGTTTCCACAGATTACGTATTTTGTTAAAACTATTTCGACAATTTCTTAAAAAGACAATGACTAAAATTTCAAAATGGTATCAAAAGTTCCTCTCGAGATTTTCACAACGGCGTGATGTGTAAGTTCTCACGCAAATTTCGGAAGATGGTGCCTATTTCGATTCAAAGGAAATAAACTTGGTTTATGAAAAAACATTTTGAAAAATTACCAATTTACTATATCACGTTTCATCGTGGATAACCGAATGTGCATATCTCCTTCCTCTGAAATCGTCAAAATTGTCTAATAGAAAATTGATTGATTAAATTTTTCTGATATATTATAGTTAAGATCTCTGACCAAGAATGGAATTCAAGTTTTACGCGTCATTGAAGTTCGTACACTTTAACCCTCGGGACACTAAAAATTCAGAAACCGCAACCTGGCGATTCCAACATACAAAACCTAATTTCACGGCGAGTCAAAGTATATTCTATATCTTTGGTTCGTGAAATCATAAATTAGCTCTGCGTCGTAGAATGCGTAGAAAAGCCTTAGTAGAATAAATATTTGTTGCCGCTAGCACTTCGTAATACGTTCCAGGTTCAGTATTCTCGACAGAGCTGGCTTGAATTTGGCCTTGCGCTACAGACTCGAGTCCGGCTATCGGTTGACACAAAAAACCGAGCAAGAACCGATTATGTAAAACCAGTCTTTCGAGATGTTGCATTTTCTGCAATACTTGTTTAAAACATATCTTGCTATGTCACTTTTGAAAGTTACAACATGAACCAGTTTCTAATCATAACAACATGTTAGGCACTATACCTAGTACAAACTAAATATTTTTTTAGTAAATCTGTAAATTCATTTGTAACTGAAGAGTCTTTTATAGTATTATGTTGTGCCGCTTCTGATGTATGCGCCTCCAGTATGGAAAAAAGGCTGCGTCAGAGACGTGAGGCACCTCCAATATACACAAAATAAATGTATGTGTCGCAAGGTCAGATTCAAAACCGACTATAATGATAAATACCTACTGCGCTATCTTAGGAAGGCACTCTGATAATGATTGATAAACTAAAGAACATGCGAATATTCTTACTACACTTCTTACCTTGACAAGGAGCGTATTCAGTATGGGAATCTGCAGAAACGGCAACCAAAAATAATAGACACAGTTTCCAAAAGGCGCATTTCCATAAACAAGCATGCATTTGGCTACGGTTTAACTTTGGTTGTTGTGAAAAATAATGTATGTTGTGTTGCGTCGAAAATGTACGGTCGTTCGAGCTGACATTCTACCAAAACGCTAATGTTGATATGGTAGGACACCAAACATTGCATTTCTTGGCACCATAATATCCTTAGGTAAGGTAATATAACCAGCAATAGGGTAATCCATGATTTTTAAGGAATATAGTATTGGGAATGTTACCTAAAGTTTACCCGCGAAGATTTCGGGCTTTGGTATCAGCTAAAATTTGGCATAGAAAGACAGAACCATGGTGAGGCCATTCTATACTAGCATTATCCTGGCTTGCGTGTACGACGAGTCTTTCAGCTGGGAGTGCAAATGCTAAGGATTTCTCCGTAGATAGAAGAGGCTAACTCCTGCTATCAGGCGCATTCTATTATTGGTTGTATGCCGCCTGTAATCTCTCTTCTTGTTAACTTGCCTTGCGTGTATCTGGGCGCCCTTTTTTTTGTTTGATTTGTTGAATACCAGGCAAAGGTTGGGCTTCAGAAGCTTTAGCAGCAGGATGCCTTCACTGGCTAATAGGTTCACGTGTATCTCGTCGCGATCGGCCCCATCTAGCAACTGCGATCGCTTTTATGAAAGTGGTTACTAAATTGCTATTCTGGCCCGCTCGTAGGGTCATACGGGGAGCTTAGCAATTCTTGACGCATCACTGGCGTAAGAGTTAATGGCCACGGCAAATGGAACACGAAGTAATCGTGATCTGATGTGCAAAGCGTGAATAGCATAATGTAACTATTTATCTACACTTCTAAAAAATGTAGATCCACGGGTTTTCAAGATGCCAAGCAGTTTCATGTGAAAATTTGCGCGGAAAATAAAGACGACTGAGAAAATACCTTCGTCCCTTGTGTACAAGGCTTACTTGGATCCACAATGTATAATCTTAATGTGGTTGGTCGTAAAATGCGACTTTCGCTTACAGAGTATGATGTACAAGCACTGAGAGACAGTAGATGAAGTACGATAGCAACATACGCCCTTTGAACAGCAAAAACACGACTATACTGGTCAGCAGGATCATTGGTAATATGCATGTTCTAGTTTGACTGGCTACCTCGTTCGTATTTTCCGGTAATCTGAACACAAGGACTGAGCAACGGAATCACTCCGAACGCATACAGTGCTGAATGCCTTCAACAGTCTTGGGTGCCACCATCCTCTTCGACAGCAATATGCGAACGTTTGAGTGTTATGTGGAGAGTTCAATGATCGACGTAGACGCGTCCAATTTGTATATCGAAAAATTTTATATACTAGAAGAAATAATCCGCTAAGTGCGAAAAGCGCTCTAAGATAGTATATACCAGTTAGAATTGAGCTGCTGCTGCTGCTCCTCCGATAACTCCGAAAAAAGGAACCCTGAACTACCTACTGTTAGATTCGGCTACCCTATTCGTGGCACCACAGGATCCGGACATCGATTCTATACCGAAACTTAGCTTGAAATGTTGAAGTCATTCATAATTCATCTGAAACCGCGCCTGTTGTGCAATAAGCGCTATAAGCTAGCTGTTGCGCTGCCCTAAATACGAGAATTGATTAAGGTCATCCGGCTATTAGTACGCTCTGTAGTTTTTTAAGAAGGTAGTATCAACGGATACTTACGCCTGCCCGTTAGCGGTACCTTTCCCTGCAGGAGACAGGTTAGTGGCACAATCAGGAAAGAACCATACAATGGGAGCTGAAAAAGCGGTCAGTGCCATGCCCTTTAAAGTTTGCGCAGCTGATAGGGCATTTTAGAAGTATGTTCGCAGCGACGAACACCATTTCACCAATCTTACCTTTGCACGTTGGTGTATTGGTACAAGTTTATTCAGTACTTGCTCACAACCTGGTTACTCACCGATAAGCGGGAGTAAAGTCTTCCCGGGCGTCACGCCGAGAGAATTTGTTCAATCCGTCTTCATGGAAAGCAATTGCGAAGAAAAGTGCTCCGGCCGCACAGCACGGATTTCCTATAGGATGTTCCGCTCTCACAGCTTTCACACACTGCTTTGGCAGACGTACCGTCTCCGCCGCAAGTTAAAAAACGGGCACCCGTTGCTGTGTCTATGAATTTAGTTCGAAGTTTGATAAAGATTCCTGAGACAAAATTTTAATGAAGCTTGGGGAAGGTGGAGTTTTACGGGACGTATTATATTGATCAAGGCAATATTGCAGGAAAATTCGGTTGGCATATATGGCAAAGCAACTCAACTAGAGCCGTTCGTCCAACCAACTGACGCTGCATAGGATGATAACTTGAGCCCTCCGCTATTTTCACTGCTGCTGACCTGTCACTACGCGGTCAAGACCCTGCGGACCAACAAAAACATTATCGTATGCCAACTTCCGTGTTATCTTTGGAAGAAATCGATTTTATGCTCAGCAAGCCAGAACGAGACAAGGGCTACAAAATTGGATTGTGATAGCCACCGTACTGCTTCCGACACACTTTGCATCAGTAGAACAACCTTGACATACGAAAATAGCTTGAGGTACCTGAGATCTTCCCCACCAACGACCAAAGGGTAGGATACGGACAGAGTGCGGCGATTGAGGGTTATTCAAAATAAAAAAGCCCCAACCTACAACATTTGCGATCATCTGTCATCGAAGCCGGTCGAAAGACTTAGTCGAATCAAGCTCTCATTCTTAAAGTGTGCCATTGGCCTGCATCGGTGAGTAGATACATGTACCTTACAGGTAATATACCGCCTTTATAGATTATATAGACACAAATCCCTATTATCATTGTCCGTTCGAAGTTTATCAGCACTTGGAAGGGATCAAGCCTGAATATAGAATACCATACTCATAATTACTGAAGCCTAGAAAGAGCTGGATAGATCGAACCGGCACTTGCTTACACGTTGTGCAATACGTAGCTTTCATCACATATTATGTGGGAGTGTAGATCTTCTTTTGCTAACAGCTATGAGTATTGCAGTACATCTGAGGTAACATAAGACGTTATGTGCTGCATTGGGCACTTTCTTCGCACACCAACATTAAGATTTAAAACGTTCAATTCTTACAGTACAATTGTATTTATGAAAACTCAAACAAATGAGCCGTAATTGAGAACGTAAACGGAGGATAAAAGCTCCTTTCTTATTTCTTACGTTTGAACACAACACCAGACCACTGCTTCAAAACATCAAAGTAACCGTTAGTATCGCCCGCGTTGATGCATCATTAATTGTACGTATATATATATTATTGAAAATTGTTATGCGTGATTAAGTGCATAAACAACATTTTTGTTTATTTTAATTGTTTTACTTACACAATAAAATAAGCCTTTTTAAAATGGTGGAGTTCGGCTGATTTTAGTAGATCGCCAATATTTTATTTTAAAAAATTTGGATGGACACTTTTCTCGGAAAGAGTTTTTCTTTTCTTGTCAGAGAGCGTAATGTTAATTTGGGCAAATTTTAATTTTTCTCTTATGTTGAGCGGTCTTTTTCTGTATTAATGTTTGATATCTATCTATGGGAATAGTTGTAAACGCATATCGGAGATTTACGCTTTCAAAAAATGTTCGTCATTTTTTTTGACAAAATGGCAGCCGAATGTTTACGGAAAAATCTACATAGGAAAAGTCGTCTTCGATATCAATCAAAACCTGTTACGGGGATGAATCGAATGCGCTAGTTCTTCGGACGCTACGATGACATTTTTTATATAAAGGTCCATTTAGAAAGGATGCCAATTGAAGCTATCGATGAACAGTATTGAAACGCATTAAAGATATATTAATCTTATTTTTCAGGTCGAAAATACCGTGCGAAGGGCGAATGCATAACATAGTGCTTTATACAGAGGGGGCTCTTTGCTACCAATCAACAGATCTCGGCGAGCCGAGTAAAAATGAAATACCTGCCCTATACCTAAAATATCTTCGAGCTGAAAATGGCGAAAATCCTATTGGTCGTATCGGTTTTCGTATGTAATGATAGGGGTGATAGAACGGAATCGACGGCTTAGTCGACTCTATCAATAGGCAACGTTCATTAAAGATCTGCCAGAAAGATGAAGAAATAAATGTAAAAGGGTAACGGGTTAAGTGAGATAGGGTAACTGCAGCGGTATAGTTGCTGGTCTTATAGTTTACGTTGGGCTAGGTAAAATATCAGTAAACCAAATTAGCTGAAGCAACAACAAAACAGGTACGAGACGAAGCCCGCGGGTCCATTCAGCCTATTTGTTTGATACCAACTATAAGTTTTGAATAGCGGATTTTGTGTTGTCCAAATCGTTTCTGTTGCGTGGACAACGTTTTATACTACAGGTCCCTCTTAGAAAAGGTCTGTGCGAAGTACGAAGACAGTTGGCCCCTAAAGGATAAAGCTCATTGTTTCCCATATAACGTAACGTTAGTTCTGTTGGTTATAAATCAGGGCAACTTCTTTCTCATTTTTAAAATTTTAAAACTACATCGCTCCACCCCATAGGTGCACCAATACCGCCACCAGCGTAGCCTGCGCTTATACAAGGTGAAAATGTATATTTTTTATTGCGTGAACTGTGTACTCAACCTGTTTCGCATGAATAAATGCGCTCAGTGTGTGTTGCTTGGTAAACTGTAAAAGTACATTGTGGAAATTACATTTTGAAAGAAGATATCAGATTTTATGCCCATCATGGTCATAGCCTACTAATTAACCATAGCCGGCCGAAATAATCCGGTTGAAACGACAAAATGCAAACAGAGCAAAGAAAACTACCTAAACACCCGAAGCAAGTGAATGGCATAGAGCAGATCATGAAAGACAACAAACTTCTAGGTAACGTGAAACGACAATGGAAACGTACACTCGATGTCGCGCTGATAGTCATAGAGGCAAACATGATCGAATAAACCTACGCGAAAACATGTCAGTAGATACTGACAGGGAGGACAAAACTGAAAGACTTGTACTTAAAAAATACGCCACTAGCAAAGGTTTGCCGAAAAATGTCAGATAATGTAATCATTTCACGTGACTCCTTTCAGGTCACTAAGAAAAACCGTCTGCTTGAAGGAACCTTTCGTTAATTATACAAGGGACTGTTCACCGCAGGATCGGATCACTAGAGCTGCACAACAACCAGCAATCTTATGTTTTTTAAACCTTTTTTATGGATATAAAAGGTGGTTTTGAAAGCTGTTTACAAAATCGGAATCATACGCAATCAATAGAAATTTAAGAGGAACTCTTAGGGAGGTAATCCCTGTATATGACAAATTTTTTTATACCGATCCTGATTGATCGTTACCAAACCAGAGTGAAAAAATGTACTATGCAGCGGATGAAGCAACGTTCAGAATACAATAAGATAAATTATAACACCCGCGACACATCGTCCCATGGTAGCAAGACAAACCCTGTGAAAAAGATGACCAAAACAGACAAATTAATTGTTTGCAGATAGTCCCTAAATGAATTCGATCATATGGCTGTCTATAGTACGTGTTACTATTCTCATTAGGTGATGCTGGTTGTCATAAAAAAAAAACATATATGATATCAAGAAAAACAGATACGTTAACAATACTTGTATTGCATGATCCTCTAAAAATTAAAAAAATATCGTTTATTTAATCAAGTAATGGAAGATGCTAACGCTACGCATTTCTCCACAGTTTTGAAATATCTGGACTACCGCCTCATAACATACCTATTATCCTGATAAGAAGTAAAGACGCTTTTAGCTATTTCCAAGGATTTGTATTTCATCGCGATCAACTAATGCGCTTTCAGTTTCGTGTAAAATCTCTAAAATGTTACTTTAGCTGGTCGTAAATTGATCGCAGTAACTTAATCCCGATTTTTAATGCTTGACAACATCGCCGCAGTAGAATCTACAAGGCCGGCAAGGAATTATTTCAGCTATTGTATCATCAAATATATATATCTGTGGAATTTGTGTTTCGTGAACAAGTGTGCTCAACGCGTCTTTAATACGAAATAGGTGCAGGGCGAACCTTACGAGTAGCCCAGTCATTAAAAGTTTGTCTTTCTGTTTGTCGGACTCAAATCAAGCTTTTCAAGCGATCGGATTGGACTAACTTTTCCAGGTCACTAGAGGCTTATTTTAAGCGATCTGCACCCCGCGGCATTTACAAACATCTGGGCGATCACCAACATCGTCTACGCTGATATATCATCACTTGCGTGAAAAAGTGTGCTTAACTTGTGCTACGTGGCAAACTGTATGGTTGAAGCAGCTATTAGGAAAAGCTCGTCGCTAGTTGACGACACCTTTATTATAGGTATGATTAGTCTTTTAGCCCTATACAGGTGAAATGTAATATGTAAAATGGGCATAGAGTTAAGCTTGTGATGTGGCGCTCTCATGCAATGGTCGTATTCGTGCTTAATATTACAACCCAGCCATACCGGTGGATGTAGCTGCATTTCACTTTCTCTTTCTCTCTTAATATCCCAATTATCTCTTTATTCTCAGTTAACACTTGTGGCACCTGGTATCGTTTTCGGAATCAAAAACATTTAATAAAATCGTCTGAACAGCGGTAATAATCAAGTTACTTCAAAAGTATTTTACCGGTTAAGTGGGACGTATATAGGGTTCTCAAGTAGTAAAATAATATTTTGCTAAAAAAAACCGCATTATCTTGTATAGGAGCCAATATACTAGTAATATAACGTTTTTTTATCAATAAATTGTTACGAAATGAACATATATTCAATGTGATCTTTAAACGCGAAATCTTTGGCGCGTTACTCCTGCGAAGTCTGATATCTTTGACCTGGGATATATGCTTCCATGGCCATTCGAAGTAGCGCTTGTGATATCTGGTGTTGCTGATAGGTTATGCTCATAAGACGGACAAACGACTGGCTTTCTACCTGATACGAGACTACCATATGTTAATTTAACATTTAAATCTTCATTGTATAGGATCTTTATTATGTAAGGTCGTCGCCCAGTGCTTGAACCCGAGTACGATTATTAATCAGTTCGAAAAGGATGAGACCAAACAGTAGTTTCGTACTACTACATTTGATCCCGATAATTCTCGTTAGTTCTGGAGTGGAAGAGGGTAAAGATAAAAGTTCCTAAACGCTGCTGTAAGAAAATCGCTGCTATGGCAGAAGAACGGATCAGGCCAATGTGTTTTCTTAGAACTCTTCTATTTTGTGGTTTAAAATGAAGAGCAACAATCCTTTAATTTTCGAGAAATATTTATTAAAGTCTCGTATGTTTTTGTATTAATATAGCCCGCTTGGTAGAATCATTTAGGCCATAGGTAAGTCAGAGATGTATGTATATAACTTGCAAGTTATATGATTATAGGAATAATCATTTTTTGCGAAAAAGCCAACTTCTATTTGAACACTGCTTAAAACTAATTATTTTCGTAAAGAAAACAGATATTAATAATCAAGCGGTTTATTTAAAAAGTATAAATTAGTAACATTTAATTTGTTGGACAACTTGAATAAAACGTCTTATACTGACGAAAGCCGAGCTACTAATGTTCTTTCTACGACTACAAAAAATAATTTACAAGCTTGACTGCCTGCTTGTTGCAATGGGGTGAAAATAAAGAACGAAGCTGTCTGCAACAGAGTCCAAAAATTAACTGCTGTTCTGTTGCAGCGAAACACTAATGCGACTTGATGGCCCTGATTGACTACCGTGCCCTTCTTATCAAAGCTGTTGCAGAGGAAGTGTAGAGGGCTGCTGCGAAGAAAGCTGATCTTGCAGTGCTAAGAAATGATCACTTAGTCGATTGCGATTGCACTCCGCCAACTGTTTGGTACGTTTATGTTCAATATGAGAATGCGTCCACAGTTGAACCCATTTTAGGCATGTTATAACCTCACATGATCCTTGATCAGACTATCTTGCTAATGCAGCTTCTCAAGATACATTGAATACAAAAAGTAAATTATTAATTTGCTTTTTATTATTATTTTATTAAGTATGTCGACGCAAGCTCACTGGCAATACCAGCAGCTATGGCTTCCTTCACGGTCTTGATTTGCCATTGCAATAAGGTCTTGCTCATTCTAAATTTACTTACTGCTTCCCTAATAGCAGAGCCTCTGTCTCTAAGGGACACAACTCCTTCGTGCATGGTCTCGGGCTGCACTTTGCCTCTATCGGTCTTTTCTTGTATGCACGTACCGTTTTGAACAAATGATTACATAACCTTTAACGAAACCGGCTAAAAGAAATGACAAAACTCGAGACAATCGAATGATGTTCCATTGTGCTATCTAATGAATTATAACCCGTGTTCATCACAATAGGAATCATGGTGTGTCAGTTTACGTAAGGTCAATCTAACGGGAATACCTGCCTCGCTGGTCTCAGCACTAGTGTCACGTTATCTTTCCAACCGCAAGAAGGCGCTGTTGTGCGCGCTACCACCCCATCGAAATCATCGGAATGCCCGTTTTCAATTAACTCGCCTCCAAATCATCTACGCATAGTCTTAGCATTTAGTTAACAAGCGTTAAATACTCTTTCTAGATACGTAACATTATAGATTACGTTTTATCCAGTACGTATTACAGTATATTTACCTAGTGCTATGAAGATTATCGGGGCAGTTTCGCGCGTGCAATTCAGTGTCGCCTGTCGAGCTTCTAGTGACAAGTGCTAGTTGGTTTCTCACAAAGGGTGTGATCCCGATAGCTCTTTCACAAGCAACTGGTAATTATAGCGCGCACCAGAGTGGTTTTTACAAGTGATCGTCCGAAGCATAAAATTTAGTGCTGATTACAAGGATTTAGCGTTTAAATGATTTAGGAACATGGCACGCTTACAAAAATGACAGCGTTGGTTAAATATAACGGAACTGCTTTAAACGGGCTTAATATCAACCTTTTAACCGCCTATATGGATCCGCCGGAGACTGAGTCGTGAATAGTTTTTGTCGTAAATTTTATGAACGAACTCCGTGCAGTGCCGTTATCATCCCCTATCTTTGTCTGAAGAACTATTGAAGCAATCTTGAACAGCACACAGGCGCCTCGCAAAACCCTAGTCGAGTTTTGCCGCTAAATTGTTAGTTCTACATTTACAATGACTTATGTAGGCTGTAACAGAAGCCCTGTCATCAGCATTTTCGCGAAGAAGTTATACCTTAAAAGGAGGTCCTCCAGTTGACCTGAGAACTGTGTGCCGAAGAAGGCCTTTACAAGGACCAAGATACTTTGAGCGGCAAAAAGTTACCTAGTTCGTGAAGCTGAGCGTGGCCCATACAAATGGACCTCAACTTCACGCTCGATTAGTCATTGATTTTAAGAAACGACTACACAACAAGCTGCTATTCACCCTGGTAACGATGAGACTAAGTCGGCTTCTGGGTGTCGCTGCTATCATATCGGACGAGCAGCGTGGGTTTCGACGTATCCGATTAGGCATCTTAGGCTTTTTATTAGCCAACATTAAGGCCGCAATTCGCTGTACCCACAGGCTTCGAGGGGGCTTTTGATTGGGTGCAAAGAGACGCCGTTCTGAAGTTCCTGACAGGGGAAGGGGCCTCCACAAAGCTTCTGAAGCTTTTAATGGTTATATTTCAGCAAGACCGAAGAAAAATAGACAATAACTTTACCTTCTTCCAAATCAGACCTCAAGCAGAATAATAACATCGTCTTTCTGCTGTTCGCAGCGCTTTTAAGGGGTTTACGTGCGACAATCGAGGGGCAAAAAATCTGGTGAAGATTATCGCCGCCAAGTTAGCCAAGTTGGTAACAGCCGTTTCCAAATTCAACCTACGGTACCTAAACCGCATATTGTTTTACCAAAACTCGGCTTAATTGCGACTTCTACAAAGATGGTAACGATCAAATTTAAGAAGGGAAAGAAAATTGCTTTTATAAACAAGCTTTCAGTTATGGACTTTTGTCACGTCTACTCAAACAACTGTCTGCTTTTTCGTTAAACGGTAGAAACTTCCTGTTTCAGGTAGCAAGGAACTGAAAAAAACAGCGATAATCTGGCCCTCCATCGAGAACTTCTAACTTCTGTTGGTCCCTATTGCCCCACAGCTGTTCAACTCCAAAAAATAAGCCCAGCAGCTGCCTATCGCATAAAAGTCGTGTAGGAAGGCCTACTTCTTGCAAACTTAGACCAACTAAACTGGCTGAAAGCTGCCTACCTAAAGCGTATTTTCGGATTTTACTTCACGGCACAACATCAACTAGTTTACGTCTTAGTTTAGACACCGTTATTCATCAAGTGCTTAAAACGGCCTCTCGACCCTCCACCTACACTTTCCTTTAATGAATACTATGCTAAATCACCATGTTATAACTAAGGCTTCTATCATAAACTATATGTTCGAATATTTATGAACTTAATGGAATATGGAAATGTGGACAACAATATGGCAGGTGCTAACGCTGCTGTCAAAGGTAGATTTTTTTTTAAGCTATTAAAAAAATATATTATTTCTTATCCTTTGTAATCTGTTTACAAAAATAGGTTTGTACTCAATATTGTTTCTATATAGATTTTTCGGTCTACTTCTGAACAAGTTCGACTAAACAGGGCGTTCAAGAATATTGATGATAAGCTATGAAAGCACGGTCGTTATGATTTCCTCTACTGTGCTTTTAAACTAGTACGCTGAGTCAACTCCAAGCACCAAACACGATCTTAGAAATCCAGGAAGCATAATCATTATTTTTAGCAGATTAAAAAGTAAAAGCAGTCGTTCAAAGCACTCTGTATTACTGCAGTGATTCTGGTTAATCGCAACTTGGCTTTACTTTGGCTGAAAAAGTGTAGCTTTGGTACAATCCAAACCCCAATGTAAAATAAGTTGGCTATTTCACTTCTTTATAGTTCAATAAAAATTCAATAAAATGCAAAAAAACTCAGGTATCGCAAATAGCCTCACTTTCTGAGACGTTGTACAAGCAAAAATATAGTAACGTAAATTGTTATTTTCAAAAACCTTTCCCTACTACCAGCAAGCGTTCCTTAGCACGCACGACGTGGTTAAAATGACTACATCTATGAAGCAGATATTTTGAACATCACATTCAAGGATACCAGCTCACACGTAAAGTTAATTTATGTAAATTAATGGTCTTCTGTAAATTTTATTTTCTAATTTAATGTTATTTTGATGCAACCTTTTTTGTTATTATATGTAAGGTGTACTATTAGAAGCGATGTAGAGCAAGCAGAGAACAGGTTACAGGAAAGAGCTCCGCTAGAAGCAAGTTCCTCCAGGAGTATCCGCATGTAGACCTTTGTCCAAAAATGCATTTTCTATTGATTACTTACGTCTGGGCAATGAGCAATAGAGCTGAAAAGCGGCTGACAGCAGGGAGTGCGCCGTATCTATACTGTGAAAACCTTATCATGATATATATATATATCCCTTATATTCACCGTGTTGTCACTGGATAAGCGAATATCACGTAACTCAAATGTAGCTCAATCAAGTATAATTAGAAAAAATGTATCCACTGTTAAAATTGTAAAAACATTTAACAGATTTATTTTCATATTATTGCAACTTCTATTATAGCTCTTTAGACTGCCATGTCAACAGTATAGCATATTATATCTATTGGTGCAAGCGTAAAACGAAAAAAAAAATATTTTCAAGCTACATGTCCACTATATATTTTTTGTCGATAGGAAAACCTTTTGAGCATTCTCGAAAAGTTGTACAACGTTTCAAGAAAGCAACTCTGCAGGATTGCGGATTTTTTTAACCCCCAGCATGGAAGGTTGAATAACTTGTCTGAAAGCCATTGGATTACACGGTGTTCCGAACATCTTGTTCTTCATCGGATCTTAATCTTATCACATATAACTCGAACTCCGCGATGCTAAACTAGTCAAATTTCTGGCGCAATCTATACGAATGTGTTTCAACTTTCCAACAGACCTCACTATTGTTGCGTAGTTTGCTTCCAGGACTTGTCAAGATATGGAACCTGGTATTGGAATTGTTCAATTGTCTATTATTTAAATTTATCGAGTATCGATAAATTTTAATACATAAAGTGTTAAACCCTGTATTGAAGCTGCATCGCCTGGCATGTCCCTAAAATTGAGATAGTCAATGGTATGTCTATATATAGGCGATACTAAGTAAATCTTGAGCGCAAACTAGTAGAAACTTATAGGTTAGATTAGGTTAGGCGTTACTTGGGTCCTCGGATCGAAAAATGTTTCTTTCTACTAAGTTAGTTAAAGAATTGTCAACACAGTTCAGGATCATGCGAAAAAAATAGAACCCGGCGGCTGATACTAAGAATGGGAAGATAACGAAATTGGAAACAATTATTTATTTTATTAGCTAAAATTTTGGTATCGAGTCAGCAACTCAAGAGCAGCTTAGGGATCTTTATGTGATGTAGGGACAATATGTGAAGGTCAAATATAATACCTCGTTTACATAAGCCTGTTTTTATTATACGTATTAGCACAATGCTTGCACGATAAGCGTCTGGCAGATACTCAACGTATAATTACATATCTTGAATAGAGTGAACCTTCCTTCATTTATGAGTATAAATAGGAATTGTTTTATTAGTTGACAAGGTTAGAGTGGGTCATTCAAGTATATATATATATATAATGAATCTAATTCTAAATGAGCGTTATTGGGAAATTATATAACACTGCTTGAATACTTAAGGCATTGATCGTGATATTAGCTAGAGAAAACGTACTAAGTTATCGCATTTTTTCGTCAACACTGTGCTTATTACTGTTCTTAATTACGTTGTAATGAATCCTTTTTAGCATAACTTAGTTAAGCCGGAATACCTTAGGGAACTTCACGATTTGCGAACAGTTTGCAGCAATCATGGATATATGCGTTACAGCAACGTCGTGCTAAGAAGTTCTATGCCGTTTTATTAAGATACTCATCGTGTCCATATTTTCTGTGTGTGGAAATTATCTACACTTGTATGCCTTTTACCTGCATTTGTTCCCAGAAAGCTCTGACTAATAATTAATCCTCTCATGCTTACTAGTAGCGCTTATTGATCTTTATGCTGAGTATATGCAAATATAGAGTTCTGCACCTTTGGCATACCAACTTTATTCCAGTGTTTGATATATGAGTTACACATTCAAACGGCATCACGATAAGAAAAACCTGTTTAAGCTGGCGAATAAAGATTTGATATAAAAAGATTTCATGAAGACCGGTGAGTTTCATATACTGCACGTAGACATTCTGCACTTTTCTAGATCTACGAAATTCAGATTGTGCGGACGCATAAACCTATAGGCCGTGCGTCGCGTTACCATACATTTCTGCATGAATCGAAGAGCAGCTGCAACATAATTTTGGTTTAGTTCTAAAAAACATCATCACTTTCAGGTTGGGTCGTGTTTCTGAAACTGGATGAGTTCAATAATTTGTAGTTCTAACCAAATCGTGTCGCTTGCTGTTAAATTTATCGGAGAAATTCAACAACCCGCCTAAGAAAGAATAAAATACACGCAGCTATAAGAATGCGACCTTGTATTAGAACTGATAGCGCGCCAATACATTGAAAATACTCTTGATTAAAGTAGTATCATTCAATCCTAAATATAAAAGCAAAAACAATGACTTCTTAGTATCGCCAGCCAGCTTTCCTCGGTGGCTGCAACGGTCGGTGGACAAAATCGTATAGTATTATTTAGTCACCTACCCATGTGTGATGTATTCAGGCTATTTCAGAACTGGCCGTAGGTAGGGCTTAGATCGCTCCATTGGCCAGCCTGTGGCATTATCAAGTTTTTTTAGGGAAAATTTGCTTTATTTGAATGTATTGCTGAATACGGTGATCGGTTAGGACCCTTCCTTTAGATACCACAAATAGTAATCGTAAGGAAGACAATAATACCAAGTTCCGTACCTTAAAGGCCGTAGTTCTACAAGAACATGCACAATCATTATCGCTATTTTTGATTCACAAGACAAAAGTGATTTTCAATCTATAGAAAAATTATGAATCACGTATGCTCGTAGACATTTTACTCTGCTGAAATTGAATTCCATAAGTATAGTTCGTAATGTACACATGCGATCTTTTGTAGATCAATGTACTGTTGTAGTTTTGAAGTGCTGTATGGGCAACTCATTGCTAGTATAATTTGAATGTTAAGTATTCTGGGGGTTATTATCATATTATTTAATTTTTAAAATTCCTTAGCAACTTCCATCGGAAAAATGGCCACCATTGAAATCGATAGTAATATAATTTCTGGTTTAATTTCTGGATTAATTAATTTGATTTGATCCGTAAAAAACATCTGATGAGATAATAATGTGATTTTGCCTACGTGATTAACCATAATGCATATTTTAGACGCGTGCAAAATAGTTACAAGTCTCTAAGCTCGACATTGAGTCGAAGCTGACATTGAGTTCTCTGTTTTTTCAAGTATCAACATCTCTATCGAAGTGAATTTGCTAAAAATACACCCCTCATACTCATACAGTAACCAAGTTTAAGAAAAACATTTATCATGAATTATTTGTATCTTACTTGGAAAGATTTGCTGTTAACGCTCTTACCGATAACAACGATAACAGCCGCATTCAAAAGCTGGGAATTTCTAATCACATAATTTAACGCCGTACATGGTTCACATGTATATTGTGTCTTGTTTCACCCTACCGGTAACCCGTTACCTCTTGTATACGATTTGCTTATATACGATGAGTGTTTACAAGTGAAGACCTATTTATATATGAATATCGCTAAAGAGTGCCAAACCAATCAATCTATAGGTGTGGGTACAAAATGTCTAAATTCGCTAAATTGTGGTATTGTAACTTGTTAAGTCCTGTCACGTTCATTTCAAAACAATTGTATCAGCCTGACATGATAGTTAGATGTACAGACAGAAAACATCTGAGTAAATATGCTCAGCAATTTGTCACTCTCTTTTTCTTCGTGGGCTGTTATGTGCCTTTGACTGCGGATCGCATGCAAACTGCAGATACGGAACGTGTGGTTTATGACCAACATTAAAGCTAAATGATAAATAAGCAAGCTCTTCATTTGGGTCGTCATTCATCCGTGAGACTAGTAAGCGTCCAGTTCTTCAGAGTATGTAACAGTAAATGTATTATTGCAGGGAAAAGCATTATCGAGCTTTGCGGAATGTCTTCCTAAAAGCGAAACTGAAGTCTGTTCCTAGTTCTCTGACGATGCCAGAGTTTCTTATGTTTTGAATTAAGCTTCTGGCAATCAATCGAACAGAAATGTCATAACGCGATTAATTAGAGCATTTGCTTTTATTACACTTTTTTACACTAATTCCATAATCTAATAATAAAACACCATTTTGATGAGTAAATTACTGCAAAGCGGATTACTTAAATGATTTATTACCTATTTCTGAATCTAGTTTTATTAATCAAACAACTTTTTATGTGCATATAATATTTTAGTTCTGGATTTTCCACCTTTAGGTAGCCAATATATCTTGTTTAAGTAATTGAGACCTGTCTGTTCTGCTGAGAAATACTAGTATTTTGAAATTAGAAAACGAGCCTTATTTTTTTTTAATAGTACGCTGATATCCAAATCGACGACATCGTAAAGTCCCCATCGATGAGAAGACAGGGCCGCAGATATAGTTTAGATGTAGATGTAGCTCATTCACGTAAAATAGAGCTATTGGGAATAACTAGTTTTCAAAAAAACATTTTGCTTTATGGCGACCCCCTGAGATGTCAAACATAAAATACAATAATGTTTTTATATAATAATATGTGCGCTAAATTACGAATATTTTGGGTAACTTTGTGCACTTTTCTTGTACGCTACGTTTGTAACACTTACGTCTTGTCTAATCATGCAGAGCATCTATTGGGTAACTTAAGACCAGATTATTCCATCATAACGATTGGAACGCAACTGACGTTGTCTTCCAATTGCCAGCAAGAAAAATCCGTCAGCTAAGTGTAATGTTGGCCGTTTCAGTACACTCACACCATATGATAGAGTTTGCACGTCCGAAGTCAACACGCACAATTCGACGGTCGTAAAAGGTCTTATACTAAGGCTTTAATGTGTATTCTCCTTTGATTTGCTCTTTTAGCCGGGTACAAAGAGTTATATTCGACCTACCTCGCGAGGCTTGTTACTGCTACCCATCAATGGCCACAGAAATTTTCAGAGCGATAAATGGCGTCCCATGAGAACAAAATACACCCGATTCGTGTCCAGCCTTGAAACAACCAGCCACGAACTTGTAAGCAACACGAACATAGATAGCACTTATTTTACAATGGGAATTGACGATCGAGGACTTGCTAATTCTGCTAAATTACGTCATCTTCTTATTACGGACTCAGTTTATAATTTCTTTTTCGCATCGTTGTTAAATGTTTACTAGCAACGATTTGCGCATAAACGTCTCATGGCTTTGATTATTTTTTGCAGCTAGCTGATATGAAATTGTGTCGAAGTAATGACATCGGTGTCATAAATATCTTTTTTGAGCCATTAATATTTGATTTTAGTTGAAATTTAAAATTTTCTCAATTATTTTTTAGAGCGATGTGTTTTTATTAAGTTCAGCTTTTAAATTTTATTATTTGGGGTATAGTCCAGCGATATCAAAATCAGCATGGGCATTCATTCGAAAAAGGCCGGTTTTTGGCTAGAGCTTTGTAGGTAAGCGTACCAGAGATAAAGACGATATAACAAATGGGACACATGATCATTCATCATCAGGAATTCGTTATAACGAGGGTGCTAAAACGTGTTCACACTCAGCATTGGTTCGCTCTCATTTAATAAAACGTTTTAAAGTTTATGTGATAGTGTTCTAACGGTCTCCTACACTTAGAATGAGTTATTTGTCATTTCATCTACTGCTCCTGAATTTTATAGCAAACAAGTTGACTCGGACTATAAACATCGACTCTGTCTCAAGCCGATGCCTTATAATAAATCCCCAATGTTGTGATCAGTGTTTTGTTCGACAATATTTTCTAGCCGTACTGTATTAGTAACAGACCTTCACTGATATGCGTGCAGTAAATCAATTTAGGGCCCGAGAAATTTAGATTTTACTGCTTATGTTTAATAGGCACTGCTAATTAGGCAAACTATGTTCAATGCTTTGACAAGCTTTAAACCTTATAATAAACAGCATTTTTACTTACGTGGTCTTATCCATTCAATGTATGCCAGAACGTTGTTCCAAATAGACTCACAAGTTATCTAGATAGGAATAACTTTGACTTTACTCCACTGGCCTAATCATAAATTTAAAAGCTCCTTCAGTAATCGTTGTAGTTGTAAAAAACTGCATCTCTAGGTAATGGCTTCAAAGGAGTCCAACTTCACTTGGATTGTTATAAAAACTGGATTATTTGGCTTAAGGAAGTCTATGCACTTTATTTCACTTTTTATTTACTCAACCAGTGTTTGCTTAGCCCGCTAGATAGGCCAATCTTTGCATTATGACACTTTAACAACAGGCGTCGGGTATGTGCTACCACATCAGCAGAACGGAGCACGTCAGTAGGTGCACATATTCGAGAAAAGCACATTTTATCTGTAGCATTTATCATTATAAACTACGTTCTACAAATTAATTGTCAGTGACCTCAATTGTTGTTGGTTTGTTGTTGTTTTTTTTTTTTTTTATAAAAGCAAAAGCCAAAGTTGTAAGGAACATAACTGATTTGACGATGAATTAATAAATTAGACTAGAAACATTTGTTATTTGGTTTATTTTTTTGCCATTCAGCTGCCAATAGTGATATTTAATTTCCTTAAGTGGTATGGAATAAGCAAATGAAGCAAATAATAAAAGTGTAATTTCAGAAATAGTACCTAACTAGAGAGCAGCACCACTGTATTCTGGCATTACAGAACTTAAGCTAACCTAGATCGTCATTAATTGAGTTTACTATTTATTTTTATTTAGCTATTTAGCACTCGTCGATCCTATCTAATTCAGCATTGTGTCGGTTTTAAATGGACACCGCAGTTTTCTTCCGATTTCTGACATTTCCTAATCGAAGAGTGTGCTTATTCCAGCGTGTGGTATATCATTGCACAGAACAGCGCCGCGTGGGAGGCATAAGTCACCTAGCGCTTTAAAGATATTTATGATCAGTGTGATCCTACGTCAGGTTGTAGATTACTGTTGTGATGTCTTTCCCGAACCCCTTTTTGATTTCCGGTATTGATCTTCTAGTTCGGACAGCGACCCTAGCTGTATCTGCTCACCCGTTTTCAGACTTTTTTCCACTAGTATCGTGTTGAATCAGCGCTTGATTTGGTTACATCTCTCCCCGCTTCCCGACCATAATTTCTGACGGCAAGGACCATAATGATATTATGGAATGCTCCACGCACCTGGATGGTGAGCACCCGCTGTGCTTTCTTTAGATAACTTTTAAAATTTCTATATAACTAAGTGCTCTCTATAATAATAAAAATAATTTTTATCTCTTCATTATGAGTCTCACCGAAGTGGGCCTCGCCGGACGTATCTGCAATTTTTCGAATGAACCTATGAAGCGGCATGGCAACCATACCAGTAGCACTTAAACTTAATAAAAATGATTTTGTTTTCCTTAATATTAATAATTGGTAATATTCTTCGCCAACTCTAAGATTAAACAAGCGTCGCAGCACGCTTGTTAGTTATGGTTACCACCGCAAGGCACTAGAGGGGTATGTTTCAGTCACCTAGACCACGTCGCATTTTTGTTAGACTTTAATTAAGCCTTGTTTCCAGGTGCTTAGATACCTTTTTTGTTTGAACTGAGTGTCTTTCCAGGTTTATGGTATGGTTGATCATTTCTTTTTGCCAAAAGGCAGTATGGATCCCGTCCTCTTGAAACGAGCTTCATTTTGTACTTGCCTATCCAGTTTGTCAGTTTGCCAATGCTGTATTTGATTAATTCTCCCATTTCCTGTTAATCTTTGCAGCGATCATCAATACTAAACAACCTGTATAGACTATTACGTTTTCAAGTATAAGCAGCCTGATTATTTTATCGTAGGCTAGGTTAAGGCTAGTTTTCGGATAAAAGCCTGTAGCCGTCCTCCGCTTAGATCCTTCAGTCGCTTTGAAAGATTCTTTTTTTCTCCGCCTGTTGAACATCAGGCCCTCGTTCACTGAGTTAAAAGCTGTAAGAGAACCTAAATGAGAATTCCGCGAGAAATCCGGGCCGTTGTGGTCACATAGCTTTTACTTATGCCAAGCTGTAACGTAAAACCCGGCGTTCTTATTAGCTATACTGAAAAAAATGCATGCGTGCTGTTGCTGGTTGAGCATGGGACCTATTTATGGTGCAAAAAATATCCATACCGTTGCTGGACCAAAACAACACGATAATTATCTACTATTTAAAATGTCTGAGTACATTAAACAATAGACCATACGCAGTCGCTCTCACTTCCGATCTCTGTTAGTGTACCCTTGGCGAACCAGTTTTCTCATACATTCTTAAATTTGAACAATAACAACGAGCAATAACGATTTCAGTGCGTAAAAATATAGTCCTTGGATAAAGATAAAATCGTTTGTAGTACAAAATGACGTTTGAACATTGCATTCATTTCGTAAATATGAATTCACCCTGGTCAGGTAGAGGATAAAAACAACTTCATTACGGTATCTCATAGGAACACATTTTTGGCGACAGTTCTGGGTAAAGCAGAGAAAATATTCTGGGATAGCTAGGATGCCATGTTTCTTAACTAAATCAAATAGGAAAACCGAAAAATGTGGTGTCTATTACACTGTTCTTTAGCACGAGAACCGAACAATAGATGGACAAGGGTATCTGAACAAGAAAGTAAATCAGTCGATTTCGTACGGTGCGACCAAGGCTGAGAACATGCTTATGATACGTTGTGCTGAACCAAGTTAGTTGGTTCCACTTTGCAGAAAAAGTCCTCCCATATGATATCTATATTGCAGGCAGGCACTGGGGCTATTTTGAGTTCGAATAGCTATAACACAGTAGCGACTAAGAGCAGATGGAAATTCCTGGTAGCAGAGATTTCTACGACAGTCTTTTTGCACCGCTTAGTGACGTGGCATGAAAAGATTTTACCATAGAACAGAAAAAGTCGCTTGGGGTAGGGCGGATTGTTTCCGTAGGTGTGGGGCGACCCTGCGATGGAAAGCGCGTCTTGAGAAGCAATTCGCCCTGTTCTCGTGAATTCCATCACCACCGTTTTTGACAGATTCACAGTTAAGCTGAGGCCTACTGAGATTACATGCAGCGTAGCTAACACCTGCTAACCTTGAAAACAGTTTTTTTCGTAGATAACTAGCTCGTCGGTGTACAAAATAATGTTCGCAAATTTTTTTCGGACTTCCGATTTTCGCTCGTATATCCTTCAGGGCACCGAGAACAGTAAGGAACTGAAGTTACCCCTTTGCACGAGACCTGTAGTTTGAAAGAGGGGAAAAGTTCTATCATCTCTTAATCCCTTTTAACCTGGTCTCCGTGAAGCATAACCATTATAAGCTATAGAATATTTATAGGGACTACCTCCTCTGTCAGAAACCCGAGAACGACGTCTTTAGGCAGCAAATTGAAAATCGCCTTGAAATGCACGAATGCAGCGGGTAATGGGTGCGTCCGCCTAGCCAATGAGTACTTTTGCTAAGTCTACGGTAGACATGTGAATTGTTAAGGTTACTACTTTACACGGGTTTGGCTGGTCTTATCTAGATTTCCCCTAATAGAACTAGAAACGGTATGGTAACAACATGCCGTAATAAATATTTGCGAAGGCTGAAAGTTAATCCGGTGGTGGTCATATGTTCAGGGTTACGATCACAAGGCACCAAAAGATATGCGAATTAGCTACCAAGACCCGCCGCTTTTCAAACTACATAAGTCAAAAAAGCCTTACTCCTTATCATGGTTGATTGATTCCTTCGAAAGCCGTTCTGTTCGTTTGAGGTGACACAAGATATATCTAAAAACCGACTTAGTCTTTCCGTTATGAAGGAGGCCAGCAGCTTATGAGGCACACTTTTTTTTAAATGCCGCATCACAAAGTAGATGGGTTGGAGCTCCCTGTAGCTTTCGGATGGCTCAGAGGCTATAGCCTTTGACCACTGGGCAAAAAGGACGCCCTATGTATAAAGATAAATGAAGTGATTATTTCATAATAAATTGCACGTCGATATCTGTCTGCTGGCTCGCTCAATTAGTAAATGAAGATAAAGAGTATACGTCATAATTGTTGCATTATGCCATAATC